AAAAGAAAAGCAAACATTTGTTTTGGCCTGAAGCTGGGGCCGAACACACCATCTAATGAACTTTGATGTGCTGGCGAGGAGGCGTTATTTTCATTGCAGCTTCACCTCCTGACGGCAGAGCTGGGGAAGGGGGGTCCCGCTGGCTCAACACCTACCTCCGCAGGGGTGCGAGCGTGCCCTTTGCCCGTGGACTGGCTTTCTCACACCCTTTTTCCCTAAGCAAGTGCCAGGGATGGCCCAAGGGGATTTGGGGGGTGGGAGGGTGTCTGCCTGCTGCAGGGCAGCCTCAGTCCAGGTTGAGGGGGGGGCCCAGAGCCCCCGAGGATGGGCTGTGGGGCTGTCACATAGCAGGGAGAGTGCCCGGAGTCCTCCCTGTCCCCTTCTTCCCTGTCCCTGTCTCTCTGCCCTCCAGTCCTTGGCCATGGTTTCCCTCTAGTGGGCAGCTTGGTCAAGGCAACTAGATGGGATGGGGATGGAAAGCCACCCCAAAAGGTCCGTAATACATATCTCTGTAAACGCATAGCGTATTTATATCTGGGAAGTGCAGGGTCAGAAAGGGGCTTTAAAAGAGAGCCCTTATCCCTTCCAAGAAACAGGCAAAGCAGAGGTTCAAAATAAGGTGCAGGCACCATCAACTTAGAGAGCTCCCACACTGCTGCTGCTGCTTTGGGGAAAAAAACCAGCAACTGCAAAAGCAGAGAGGTGTGGACTCACTCTGGCTCACATCAGGTGTAATTCAACCAGGCTGCTTTGGCTGGGAGCCCTGGCTTGGGGCTGCTGTGGAGCAAGAGGGATGCCTCCAGAGGCTGGCTTTGCTGGGTGCTCTCATTCCTGAGGCTTCCCCTCCACTCCCATGGGGTCTCACATGCTTTGAGTTGCACTTCTGGGCCAAAACTGCATCACACATGTGGGATCCGGGCTACGTTCGTGGAAACCCTCCTGGTCTGTCCGGATGAGTCCTGCTTCACATCACTTATCACCACCAGTGGGACCCATGGGAGCATCTCTGAGGCTTCTCTTCCTCTGTGCCTCCAGGGCCTGTGACCTGTTGTCATGTTGGCTCTTGGCCACGTGAGGCACATGGGAGAGATGTGCACATCTCCCCAAATGCATCTCCACACATGGGCATTTGCGGGCATGCCTTTGGGTGCCTGCAGGTGAAATCAGCAGTGGGGCCCAGTGGCAAACCTATGTCCTGAGGAGGTGCAAACAGGTGTTCATCCTTACTGGTGTTTTCGTTGTCCAAAGTGTTGATACTGTGAGTGGTCTCAATGCCCTGATGGTTTTTTTCTGTTTGTTTTCTACTTTCTGGGCTCTTTTCAGACCCCTTGTCAGCAGGAGCTGGATCAGGTCCTGGAACGCATCTCCACTATGCGACTGCCGGATGAGCGAGGTCCCCTGGAGCACCTCTACTCCCTCCACATCCCCAACTGCGACAAGCATGGCTTGTACAATCTCAAACAGGCAAGTGGGGAAACACAGAGCCCCAGGGCTGGCTGCACTCCCAGTAGCAGCCCTCGGCTCAACACACATCCCCGCCGTGCGCAGCCGAGGGGGACACGCAGCAGCTCAGGGCTGGGCTGGTGTTGCATGCATGGTGTGAGGTAAACGGCAAATATCGCACGTGGCATGGACGGGTTTAGTAACAGCTGCATCTGCAGCCACGGGCTAGCAAGTGGAGATGTGAGACCCACATCCACACGTGGCTGTGGGCAGCCTAGAAATGGAAAATCTGTTTAGTTCAGAGCCCCTTCTTCCCTGCAAGAGCTGCTTATCTGTCCAGGTCTATTTTCATGTGATTTGAGCCAAGTCTTGTCCTGGCTGGGCCCCGCTACAGGGGAAAAGCAGAGAGGGGCTGAATGCTGGCCAGTCCTGCAGACAAAGCAGAAAGCACTTTTCCAGGGGTCAGCAAGGTTTCTAGCACACTTTACTGGTTTTCCTCCACAAATCAAGGCTGGTCCCACAGCTCCATGAGGGATTCCTTCCAGGTGAGGTGGGGGTTGGGGTGTAGCATGCTTCTGAAGGTATTTATGGGACCCAAAAGGACTCAAACGACTTAATGTTGTGTGTCTGAATTCTGACTTCTTGACTTCATTCATGCAAAACCAGCAGGTGTCAGTGGCTGAGGCATAGGGGAAAAAATGCCAGGAAAAGCCTCTTGGGCAGCAAAACACCAGCTTGTCCAGAGTTGCCTGGCAGCCACATGTGAATAGTACCTGGATACAAGCACCCCTTACAGCTATGTGTGACTGAGCCTTTGGAGGGGCTCCCAGAAAACCTGCTGTTTTCATGGCTAAGTCTTTTTCTCAGGGCTGCTTCTACCACTTGATCAGGAGCATTAAAAAAAAAAAAAAAAAGGGGCATTAAAAAAAGTAGGATGCTCTGAGATAATCTCCCTCTGTCCCTTCTCTCTTCCCTGTCCTTCCTGGAGCCTCACCCTCCGCCTCCCCCTGAAGCGCCCCAGGGGCCTGCTGGATCCCCCAGCATGAGCACACTTGGAAGGGGTGCATGGAGCAGAGCTGGCAAATTCCCTGTAAGGAGATGAGCTGTGTCTGGGGAACGAGCCTGGGCAATGCAGCAGTGCATCGTGTGCTACAGAAAAAAAAAAAAAAAGACAGTCTCTGCTGCTCCTTGTGCCTGGGAAACAAGTCAGCCTGCACTGAAGGGTGCAGATGGGTTACACACTGGTCGCTGCTGCAGAAAAAGAGAGGGGACAAAAATTGCTTTCTCTTCTCCCCCTGCCCTGCCCTGGCTAAGGGCAAACCAGGCAAGTGTGAAGCTATACCCATTTCCCTCCATCTAGGCTTCCAGAGCTGAGCATCAGCTCCTTTTTATTTGCTGGGAAGCGGATGCCAAGAAAAGCATTCCCCGTTGCTCCCACCTCCCATGGGCCAGCACTTGGGTGGAGGGTGCCTGGATGTACTCTCCTGCTGGGGAGGCTTTTTCTTCCTCTTTTTTTGTGCTTTTTATTCCCATGAACAAGGCTGCATTTTGACCTCAGTCCAGCTGCAGAAAATGGCTTGAATTCAGCTTTACAGAGTGCACGCAGAGCCCAGCCTGCTGGAGTAACCTCTGCATCTCCTGCTATGCCCTATTCAGAGATGTATTTGCTGGGGATGGAGGGATGAGCGTCAGGTTCAAAGTGCCTGCAGCCCTTCCAGGGCAAGAGGTGGATGATAACCATTAGGGCAAGAAACTTCTCTCTAACCAGACCAGGCTTGGGGCGGGCAGAGTCCAGGCCCAGATGCACCACGGTCCCTACCTCTGTGCTGGGACAGAGTGAGACCCTGGAAACATGTTTGGGTCTGGCTGCGGGGACCTTGCTCTTGTGTTTCAGTTTGTTTAGCCCAATTTGCAGGTGAGAAGAAGCTTACACAGCTCCTCTGTCAGTCTGTCTCATCCCTCTTCCCCCAGGGATTTTTGACTCTGTGGATGCTTTCATCCATAGTTGACAGAGAGCGATGCATCTCAGGGGCAGTTGTCCTCGTGGTTCATTAAAATTGGCTTCTTGGTCCCTGGCACAGCCCCTGTGGTGCAGCACAGACCCTGGGGTTTCTGAGTGCAGCATCCCTGAATCTTTACCTAAATCCAGACTAGTGCCAAATCCCTGGAGAAACCCCAGCTCTGCCTGTGTTTGGGCTTTGGGCTGGTGAGACTGGGGAAAGGGGTTTTGTCCCCCTATTTCCTCAGCTGATGCTTGCCCTGTCCCCCTCGTGCAGTGCAAGATGTCGGTGAATGGGCAGCGCGGCGAGTGCTGGTGTGTGGACCCCATCCACGGGAAGGTGATCCAGGGTGCACCCACCATCCGCGGGGACCCCGAGTGCCACCTCTTCTACACAGCCCACGAGCAGGAGGACCGGGGAGCACATGCCCTGCGGAGCCAGTAGACGGACGTGATCCTGCTCGCTGGAGGTGGCTTGCCATGGCCCCAGTGTTGGATTTTATATGGGTTTCAGTGTGTCTCTTTAGGCTCTGGAAGAGACTGGGGTTGTGTCCTGCGTGCTGCCCTCCTTCCCCTGCTGCCCGGCTCCTGGGGATGGGAGGGATGACGGGAGGGGAAGGGCAGTGGGGGGGTTGCAAGGAGAAGGGACTGCTTTTCTATAGTCTTTCACCCAACATAAGCCAGAGAACCGGTCTTTTTTTGCTCCTCACCCCACGGCCCTGCCCTCCCTGCTGCTTCGTGGCATCTTCCTGCACCCTCCAGCACGGAGTGCTGTGTGCTCTCCAACACCTCCCAGGGGGCA